ATTTAGGTACATAAATTTCTCTTGATGCGTCTTCAATCATGGGAGATCTAAAATAACATGCATGTTGTTCGTTTCCATCAGGAAAATGCCCAGATCCCATTGGAGGACTAGGATCTCCAACCTTAGCTTCTGTTCTTCCACCCCACCCAACAATCGATGCTGATTCCAAATTCGAGAACAATGCTGCTGGATAATATCCTATATCTGAATGTCCCAAGGCTATCCACCAATTTTTTGTATCTGGATCCTGAAAACACATCACACTCTCAATAACATCAAATATTACAAATCTATAATTATGTTTACTTTCAAAATGTATTTAAAAAGGTAAAATGGACATTGATAATGCATAACTTAATTTCAATTACAGTGAAATTTAATTGCATAACTTTTACCTGAGTAATAGAAATGAAAACCTCGTAACTTCGTTCCCCATAGGTGGATGTCTTGGGAAAATATGACCCAAGGAAATTATTTTTATCAACCTGAACAAAACCTGAACACCGAACATTGTAGCATCCTGTCTTCTTAAAATTATCTCTCTGCAATTTTTTAACATTATTTTAAATTTAAAGAAATGGAACGTGTGTAGCATAAAAAGAAAATGAATAATGGCATTAATAAATAAATAAGATTCATTTTTATTTATATAATGGTATCTCTTCTTACCGTCCATACTGCATAAAAATGGGTCTTTGTATCACCGTATAATTCTGGATCCACCTGATATCAAAGAATGAGAAGGATTAGAAACTATTTTATGTTCTGTTTTATCAAGTTTTGAAATTATTTTCATAAAAAATAATAACTGTGATAAATTTTCTTCACAATTATATTGTTCTTGTTTTATTTATTTTTCTTTACGTCTAACATAGTAAATGTATGAGTATAATAAGAAGGAAAAAATAAGTATATTTTAAATTTATAGAATGATAGATAAAAAATGATAGACTCAATTAAATTTTAAATATCTCATAAATTTAATATAAATAAAACAGGCATTGAAAGAAACAGAAAATATTTTAACTATTTCATATATAAATACAAATATTTAATAAAAACATAATTAAAAATATTTAATTCTTTTTATTGATATTTAAGATACAAATTAAATAACTTAAATTGACAAAAAAATCATAAATGTAATCACTATAACTCACATGCCATCCCGCAGTTATTTTGTTGGTAGATTCCAGAGGTCCATTTTCAACCCATATATGTGAGATAGAACTTTGACCTTTTCCAGTAACTCTTGGATTATAAACGCTATTTATTCCGCTAACTTTATACAAAGGAGCATAATTTGTGGGAATAGATATTTCTGCAATCTATAAAATTCAATATATTAAAGAAACTAATCAACTTCAAATATAATTTACAAAAATAAACAACCAATGAGATATCTTACGTGAACTCCAGGGATGTCTTGAACCAATGTATGATTATTTAATAATAATCTTTTTTTAGTGAAATCATCTTTTGCTCTTTGTATAGGAACTGTTCCTTCTGGACATTTTACTTTCTGAAGCCCAAACATAGATTCAAATCGCGAATTATTTACACTTGATTTTTCAATTAAATTTTCAAAGTTGGGTTTTATCTGCAAAATAAAAAAAAATTCAGAATAAAAATAAAATGAAAAAGAGATTAACACTTAAAACCAAAACATTGAAATATTTTAAAGCTTCTCACTTTCTATATAATTAAATGTTTTTTATTAATTACCTGTAACTTATGGTTCTTTAGTAAAGGATGGTCGAAGGCCGGTTGTTTATAAATGTCAATGCAGTCAATAATATCTCTAAACTTTGTCTATATAATCCAAAATAAAAATAATAAAATTAATAATCCATGTAATATGAAAATGAAGTTAAAGAAAATTATATGAAGAGATTTAAGAAAATTGTGAAATACATGAATAGTCTTGAGTGGAGACTTATCACTTAGCTTGGAATTTCTCTCAAACTCCAAATCTTCATTCAAAATATCATGAATACCATCAACATTGTGATTAATCACCAAACACAAGCAAAATATAAAGAACAATATATTCATCATTCTTTTCTCCTATATCACAAATGACTCAATGATCTATCTATATATAGAGACAGATTAACGATTCCCCTATTCTGAGAATAAGGTAAATTAAATACTCTTTATCCTAATATTTCATTTTATTTTGAAATAACCCATGAAATTAATTGGATAATAAATGCATTTACTTCTTTTTGACAAAATCATTAGTATTTTTCAACAAATTTTCTCTTTGTATTTAATACTTATTTTTTTATAAGGAAAAGTATTATGAAAATTTAACGAATAATTCACAAAAAAAATCACTTTTAATAAAATTCTTACTTTATTTCATTAAAATTAATAACTTTGATAACAATTATATTTATTTTAATTAACTTATTAATACAAAAAATGTATTGTTTTAATAATATATGTGACATCCTCAAATATATAAACTTATATAATAAAGACGTCATCATTCAAATAAAGAGAACAGTCAGAGTAGAATAGTAGTTTCGTAGTTGACATCACAATCATCCACATAAAGGACAAAACTTAAAACTTAAACAATTTGGAGTATTTCAAAATAACACCAACTTAAATTTAGAAATCCTAAAAAAAAAACTATACTGCAGCATCAGCATCTTCCAACTCTTGCTCCAAGGGAACCTCCTCGACAACATCTGCTCCCATCCAAGTGGATGATCATCGTAAAGGAAAAACATACACAAGTAGCACACAACATAGAAGCAAGGGTGAGCTAGATAAACAAGCAATAAACATATAGTACAACTAATCGATGTCATCATGCTTAGNTTTCATTCTGTAGGACGTACGTTCACGCTCTGAGGTAAGGGAAGCTTATTAATTTAATTTATATGATTATGTGTTGCATGAACGTTCGTTGATTTGATTGAATATGAAAAATGAGTGTGCTATGTTATGATGCATGAAATGTATGAAATTTCTATGTTTGGATGCTATGAGATATGAAAAATGGATTATTGTGTGAATGTATAAAGGTATGAAAATGTATGTTAAGAACTGAATTTAAATAATAACGATTCTGGTAAGAAATTTTCTAAGAAAGAGTACGTACGTTACTGAACGGTCCTTTACCATTCGGTTTTCTAGTGAATTGAGAGTTGTAGTGGATTCTTTCATTTGGGAAGAATCCTAGTTGAGGACGAGCGTCTACACTTCGAAAGACTGTGCTTGAGCGTTCGACCAAGCATAGTTATGTCTTGATATCCTGTTAGTAACACCTGGTCTTATATCAAGTGTTCGTCCAAATAAAGTGTTTAGTCTTACACCAGACACTCTTTCTATCTCCTTAAACAAAATTTTCTAATACTAGCATTCATTCAAACCACTAAAGTTCACTCCCTATAGTGTTCAGACTTTAACTGACATTCGTATTTCTTAATACTAAATCTAAATAATCTAAGTCCTCATAAACGCTCGGTTTATTCATTAGAATTCCTCTATGTATTATTCTTTGAATCTCTTGAAGTGTCTGAGTCTATTGGCTTCGGCCTGGAGCTTTAGTGCTGAATATAATTTTCTTTTTAGATGCTCGGTTAAAGTTCTTAAGAGTCAATTCATCTAATTGACTCATTTTGCAAGTTACGTTCGTTCTGTTCATTGGCGCTAATATTAGATTGTACTTCGTTTCTTTCTCAAACCGATAGTAAACCTCTTGGTCTAAATTTATTCTGGAATTTGAGGCCCTCGGTCTAGCTCCAAATTGTTCAGTCTCGTTCTAAGTCAGGGTTGGACGTTCGGTAAATTGTACCCGAACGGATCTTAGTGTAAAATGTTCAAAATGAGATGATTATTAAATAAAGATGAAGAAAATGAGATTTTGAAAGGTTGTGATTTTTGGACGAGCGTTCCGGGGAGGAACGACTCATGCTTGAATACTGAAATTGGTAAAGTATGACTGTGGGCATGCTAAGCTGGCTGTTCATCCTGATGTTCCGTGGGTACTCGTCTTCACGTAGAGGAGAGTAGGTCATGTGTGGGAACGACAGGAGATCCTAGTCCTTAGGGGTACTTTGGACAGATAGGGTTAACCTCGGGTGGCAGCTGTTGAGTGTATCCCAGTTAATACATCACCCGGGTGCACGAACGCCTGTAGCTACACAGATTTCATACAGTCCGGACGGTCAGTCTAGTGATAGGTTTTGTATGATACGTACATTGAAATGTTCTTGTGTGATTGTTTAACTTATATATGATGATTGTATGAATTAAATTATATAAGCTTACCCTGTGTTTTTCCTTGTGTTGTATCGTCTTGTGCGTTCGTCTTGTCATTGCAATGATCATTCGTGTAGATGTGAGCAGATGGAGATGCATTGTTGGAAGAGACGCTAGAAGAGGAGAACTTAGTCGAAGTGGAAGTAAAGGCCGAGCCGTAGGAGGTTCGGATTGATAGTTAGTAGTTTAGTATGAGGTGATCGTTCGATCACCTCCTCTTTTCGTTTGCTATCTGACCGTTCGGTATTTGGATTTTTGTAAACCGTTCGGTTATGTTTTTCCCTAAATATTGTACAGCTTACTTTTAAATCTTTATGTAAGGTCGTTCGACCGCAAGCGTACGCTATTTTAGTGTAAGACTGAACTGTTTATTATTAAATGTAATTATTCTATTATATGGTTTATTACTGTATTTTTGGGATGTTACAAATAGTTACTTCTGTTTTGTTGTTTCTAATTCACTTATGAATTCGTTTATTTTATCTAGTCTCTTTCAACTAACTCAAGGGAAGGAACGAGTTAATTGACAAGTTGAAAGGACTGAAAAATAAACCAGTTAATGAGTGAGTTGAAGTAAGAAACATATCATCTTAGTGATATTGATAATAAAACTATAGACATTAAACAGAAATAAAAGATATTTTAAACTACCAAGACAATGGAAAAAATGATAGAAAAATAAATAAAATATAAAATGATATAAAATATAATTATAAAGAAAATTAACTTCCACATTTGTCTCCAGGTCCTCCAAACTGGACAACACCTTCATCAGAAACCTCTTGGTCATCTTTATAGTAATTAACACCATAACAATTAGTGTTGTCAGAAAAGGGTCTGGTCATAATAGATTTAGGTACATAAATTTCTCTTGATGCGTCTTCAATCATGGGAGATCTAAAATAACATGCATGTTGTTCGTTTCCATCAGGAAAATGCCCAGATCCCATTGGAGGACTAGGATCTCCAACCTTAGCTTCTGTTCTTCCACCCCACCCAACAATCGATGCTGATTCCAAATTCGAGAACAATGCTGCTGGATAATATCCTATATCTGAATGTCCCAAGGCTATCCACCAATTTTTTGTATCTGGATCCTGAAAACACATCACACTCTCAATAACATCAAATATTACAAATCTATAATTATGTTTACTTTCAAAATGTATTTAAAAAGGTAAAATGGACATTGATAATGCATAACTTAATTTCAATTACAGTGAAATTTAATTGCATAACTTTTACCTGAGTAATAGAAATGAAAACCTCGTAACTTCGTTCCCCATAGGTGGATGTCTTGGGAAAATATGACCCAAGGAAATTATTTTTATCAACCTGAACAAAACCTGAACACCGAACATTGTAGCATCCTGTCTTCTTAAAATTATCTCTCTGCAATTTTTTAACATTATTTTAAATTTAAAGAAATGGAACGTGTGTAGCATAAAAAGAAAATGAATAATGGCATTAATAAATAAATAAGATTCATTTTTATTTATATAATGGTATCTCTTCTTACCGTCCATACTGCATAAAAATGGGTCTTTGTATCACCGTATAATTCTGGATCCACCTGATATCAAAGAATGAGAAGGATTAGAAACTATTTTATGTTCTGTTTTATCAAGTTTTGAAATTATTTTCATAAAAAATAATAACTGTGATAAATTTTCTTCACAATTATATTGTTCTTGTTTTATTTATTTTTCTTTACGTCTAACATAGTAAATGTATGAGTATAATAAGAAGGAAAAAATAAGTATATTTTAAATTTATAGAATGATAGATAAAAAATGATAGACTCAATTAAATTTTAAATATCTCATAAATTTAATATAAATAAAACAGGCATTGAAAGAAACAGAAAATATTTTAACTATTTCATATATAAATACAAATATTTAATAAAAACATAATTAAAAATATTTAATTCTTTTTATTGATATTTAAGATACAAATTAAATAACTTAAATTGACAAAAAAATCATAAATGTAATCACTATAACTCACATGCCATCCCGCAGTTATTTTGTTGGTAGATTCCAGAGGTCCATTTTCAACCCATATATGTGAGATAGAACTTTGACCTTTTCCAGTAACTCTTGGATTATAAACGCTATTTATTCCGCTAACTTTATACAAAGGAGCATAATTTGTGGGAATAGATATTTCTGCAATCTATAAAATTCAATATATTAAAGAAACTAATCAACTTCAAATATAATTTACAAAAATAAACAACCAATGAGATATCTTACGTGAACTCCAGGGATGTCTTGAACCAATGTATGATTATTTAATAATAATCTTTTTTTAGTGAAATCATCTTTTGCTCTTTGTATAGGAACTGTTCCTTCTGGACATTTTACTTTCTGAAGCCCAAACATAGATTCAAATCGCGAATTATTTACACTTGATTTTTCAATTAAATTTTCAAAGTTGGGTTTTATCTGCAAAATAAAAAAAAATTCAGAATAAAAATAAAATGAAAAAGAGATTAACACTTAAAACCAAAACATTGAAATATTTTAAAGCTTCTCACTTTCTATATAATTAAATGTTTTTTATTAATTACCTGTAACTTATGGTTCTTTAGTAAAGGATGGTCGAAGGCCGGTTGTTTATAAATGTCAATGCAGTCAATAATATCTCTAAACTTTGTCTATATAATCCAAAATAAAAATAATAAAATTAATAATCCATGTAATATGAAAATGAAGTTAAAGAAAATTATATGAAGAGATTTAAGAAAATTGTGAAATACATGAATAGTCTTGAGTGGAGACTTATCACTTAGCTTGGAATTTCTCTCAAACTCCAAATCTTCATTCAAAATATCATGAATACCATCAACATTATGATTAATCACCAAACACAAGCAAAATATAAAGAACAATATATTCATCATTCTTTTCTCCTATATCACAAATGACTCAATGATCTATCTATATATAGAGACAGATTAACGATTCCCCTATTCTGAGAATAAGGTAAATTAAATACTCTTTATCCTAATATTTCATTTTATTTTGAAATAACCCATGAAATTAATTGGATAATAAATGCATTTACTTCTTTTTGACAAAATCATTAGTATTTTTCAACAAATTTTCTCTTTGTATTTAATACTTATTTTTTTATAAGGAAAAGTATTATGAAAATTTAACGAATAATTCACAAAAAAAATCACTTTTAATAAAATTCTTACTTTATTTCATTAAAATTAATAACTTTGATAACAATTATATTTATTTTAATTAACTTATTAATACAAAAAATGTATTGTTTTAATAATATATGTGACATCCTCAAATATATAAACTTATATAATAAAGACGTCATCATTCAAATAAAGAGAACAGTCAGAGTAGAATAGTAGTTTCGTAGTTGACATCACAATCATCCACATAAAGGACAAAACTTAAAACTTAAACAATTTAGAGTATTTCAAAATAACACCAACTTAAATTTAGAAATCCTAAAAAAAAAACTATACTGCAGCATCAGCATCTTCCAACTCTTGCTCCAAGGGAACCTCCTCGACAACATCTGCTCACATCCAAGTGGATGATCATCGAAAAGGAAAAACATACACAAGAAGCACACAACAAAGAAGCAAGGGTGAGCTAGATAAACAAGCAATAAACATATAGTACAACTAATCGATGTCATCATGCTTAGTTACATATAAAAGAACAATTAAAGCATAACCTTTAAACCATGACTCAAACACTCAAAAAGACTCATCCAGATTGGTATAACTGTCGAACTATTGGTCGTTTTTGCACTTGCATAGTTCAGCTGGCCCTCCCCAGCACTATGCAAGGTAAATCCCCCAATCTATCTATGTCTAAACTCTAAGACTATAGACGAGGACCTCCCTCTACTCTCACCACTCACATTGTTCTTCTCTATTTGAACATGAACAATGCTTTGAGTGTAGGGCTAGACATAGCAGTTCAAAGCTCCATACAGTTATACAGAACAACAACAACACCTCGCACAACCACTTCTAATCATCTCACCCTGAGATGTCCAATTCATACTCAAATACATCATTATAGTTCACAACCATGTTTTTTCCAATCACCCAAGTCTCATACATAAACGTACATGACAATCTGTTAAGCAAACAACATTAATCAATCCAATAAACATTACCAGACAATAATAGTCCCAAGAGAACCACTAAACAACACAAAACCCCGTAACTCATACTTAGACAAAGAAAATGGCTTTGAAACCATCATCAACAGTTCTAGGCAGGTCCAAAACCTCCAAAACGACCTAAGGAACGTCCAAAACGGACATCAGGAACCCCAAAAATTATCAAAAACAAAGACAAAGCCACTTTTTGCGAACACCTCGCGCCCGGGCGCCCCAGTAGAGGCACTGGGCGCGACTTTTTGTGAAGACCTTGGCCTGGGAGTCCCGGGAGACGTCTAGCCCTATACCAGTTGACAGCAATCACGAAATTCGACTTTTGATGTAGTTAGACCCATTTACAACAGAAATTTTCAGTTCCACATTCACTTATACAGATCCATACAAAACAAAATCACTATAAATACAAACTTATTAATCAAATAACAGAATATTACAGATTTCAGCACATGTATTGTTCATACAATCCATAGAAAAGAATGTAGCTCCCCTTACCTCTTGAAGACTTTCTTTGTAAACCTTGAATCAATCTTCACAAGACTTGCAGCACCTTGGCCTCCTTGCAATTCCAGAAACTCTAAACTTCATCTCTCTCACAGATTTTGCAGCAAGGACTTCACTCCCACAAGTGCAGAACCCATTTCTCCTTTTCTCACACTTGTAGATCCGTCCAAGAGACACCATGGCCCCTTAATCCACTAAGAAGCACTTAATAATTGGAAAGGAGGTATGCCCACGCTCCTCTCTGGCCCAAGGGACCAACATTATATGTCTGAAGCATATTCTCCAACTTTCCACGCAATCCCCACTTATTTCAGATCTGAAAACGTGAAAACTGACCACGCTCGCGCTGGGGTGCCTCTGGAGATAGGGCGCTGGGCGCAAGTCCCCCAGCAACACAACTGTCACAACTTTGACAGTCCGGTTGACCCCCTTCCCGAAGTCGAAAATACGCTCATGAATGCTCAAATCGAAGCTCTTTGAGTCTACTATCATATAAAAAAAGAATCAACTCAATTCATATTTTATAAAAAAAGTTATAATTAAAATAATAAATCATGTCAAACTCGATAGTATATATATATATATATATATATATATATATATATATATATATATATATATATAAATATATGAGGTTTTCTAACGCGCGTACGCATGTTTTTTAGTTGGTAGATTTTATCAATGTGTACTGGGTTTTAATATAAAGTAATATTTTTATATATATTGAATTCTTAGTTTTAAGGTAA